AAAAGTGCAAAGCAAAAAAACCCTAAAAATAATAAAAGGTATTTGTTTCCATGGTGACTGGGGGGGGAGAGGGGATGAGCAATCAAGTCGCAATAAGTAGAGTGACACTGAAGATTTATTGGTTTACTTCTGCATGCTGCTGGAGCCAGGCACCTCGCGCAGCGTCAAGCACGTCCGAGGTGTCAATCCTGACACGGCGCCCAGCAGCGGGAAGATCGCTCTTTTCATTCTTGTCAGAGCACGCCGAGACGGGGGCATCTGACAGTTACTGAGAGGGACGACGGGGAAGACGAGGAGCGGAGAGCAGGGGAAGGCAAGCAGCATGCCCGGAGAGCCTCGGGCAACCGGCAGCAGCGAGGAAGGCCTTGCGGAGCCGTCACCTGACCGGCACCCACGAAAAGGCGAGCAGGAGATGCTTCAGAAAGCAGAAGACTCACTGATCACTGCTGATCCACCCCGGGATGATGCCTTTATGATAAACACTCACGACAACTTGCGACCAAAGTGCTGTTACAACACTAATTGTCCATGAAAGCTGACCTGCAGCAAAGCAGCAGAGTTCAGTTTCGATAGGCCTGGCTCAAGAGTACGACCATGATTGGGGATGACAGGAGACATCCACGCATCAAAAATCTCCGAGAACGGCTGACGTGACTTTGCACACTGTAAATAAGCAGTGGAAACCCTAGACTCCTGGCTCTTTGTCAGGAAGGCAGAAAGGACCGTGGGGGTGGCATTTTTAAGAGCATCTTTCCAAACTAGCATAAGCTTTGCACGGCCTTGAAAAGCATGGATGGATCTTTTTCCTCCATGCAGTTGCTGTTCTCATTATTATGTCCTTAACCAAGCATAAATCTCACACAGTTAATGATGGAAGACTGTACTTTCTCAGCCAAAGAGATGTTCCTCCTTAAATTTCAAGATATTTTCTGATTTTGATTCAAATGAACAGTTTTCTCCCCATTTTGTTTTAACTCAGCAAGTGCCAGGACTTGCAACTTTCTGATACAAGCCCCTCGCAGAAATCTGGAAATGTGTCAAGGCAAGGGGGAAGCATTTTTACTATTATCCTCTGCTGTGAATATTTGCTTCAGGTACATTTTATAAGATAAAAGGATTATAAAATAAAAAGCAAGGAAAACAATGGTATAGATATGGTTATACAGTTGTGAAAGATGGAATATCTATTTTTTAAGTATGAAAATATCTACATGGAAATAAAAGCAAACCTAAATTTTCAATCAATTTTTTTAAGCAACATAGAATGTTTACTATGGCCATCATGTTTCAGTTTTTTAAATGCTTAGTTTGACGGGAAACCTTCAGCTTTATCACATTTTGTAAGTTACTATTACGGCAGCATTTCAGGCTTTTTTTTTAATAAACTAACAATATACATGAGGTACCTGAAAATTAAAAATAATAATTTAAAATAAAATTTGAGATATTAATTTAATTATTGTATCTTATTTTAAAAAACTGCATCCAAACATCAGTATTTTAATTGATAATTTTTAGCTGTTCATCATTTGACAGTCTAAGAGAATAAAGTGCATGGAATGAAATAAATCCTGAATCTTCTTTCATAACCATAATTTTGGATCAAATAAACAGTTAATCTTGCTTAACTTTTGAAATGGTTCGATGTTTAGATTGACCTAAATAAAAAGTTTTAAATTAAATTGATACAAAATTGAACCAGTTTAATTATTCAAAACATTTCAGAATTACCCATTTTAAATATTGAGCAGATTGAAAATGTTAAGCTACAATGTCAAAAAGTTAGAAATGTGGCCCAAGAATAACATAAAAACACATATGGAGAAGAGGTGGGAGGGGTTGGGGTTTTTTCCCCCTTGGTTACATTTTATTTTTAAAAAGAATGATGCACAATGAACTACTCATATTTTATAGAGATTATAGGAGCAACAAAATACATAAGACAATAAAAGACAATTAGAACATTTAGCAGAGGAAACCAAATTGAACAGCTTATTTTCGTAGACAGCACAAGATTATAAACTAAAACTATATCACCCAGTCCTGCCCTCAAATTTCTCCAATCTGAGTATCTCTTAAATGCTTCCCTCTTTAAAACAAACACAAATAGGTACACCCACACTCTCACATAAGACATCCCCCACAAGAAAGCCTTAGGATTGGCATTAAACACCCATCTAGGTGGATCGGTAGGCAGCACAAAGCAGGACATTTGGGTTAGTTAGCTAGTTAGGATGGCAGGTGAACCACGTCATTCAGATACAGAGGGTTTACCAAGTTATAAGAGAAGGCAACATGCAAGTCATGTTTATATTTACCTACGTTCTTTTTCAAAAGGACAAGCAAGTTTCAACTTTTCCCTACGTTCAAGATTTATTTTTTTTAAACCATCTAAGTCTACTGTGCTTTGCTTGTAAGGATACCACGTCATGTGTACTGCACCTAATGCAAAGGTCTGAGCTTAACTGATATGGTGGTATTGCTACAATTAAAATGCTGTACTACTGATAATTTACTCACATATATAGAACACTGAAATAGTTTTATATCCTATGGGCAAAAAGGCCAGAGATCTCTACTACAACAACTGTTATACATTCCTGATTTTTAAATGCTCCTCAACCTCAAACAACAACTATTACTATAGAAAAGCAAGAACCTTGACACAAACAGTTTAAATAGAAACTTCCTTTAACTGTACAGCCTTAGCAAACACAAAATATTCTACAGGGACACATAATGACTTAAACAGTTTTTCCTAAATTTTCCCCATATTAACAACATTCTTTAGCATTCATTTAGCTTAGCAGTCTTTTCCAGGACTGATAAAATATCTGCTAGCATACACCATTGCTTCCAAAGAACACTTTGTACCAGCAGCACTAAGAGCAATATAACCTCTGCTTGGCACTTCTGCTGCAAGTTAAAAATGTCTACCTGCAATCAATGCTGAGATTATACACTATTAACAGACAGAGCAAAGAAACAGTTTACAAGAATGTACCTTCAAGAAAAAAATAAAATTATTTTTAAAAAAGAAGCCATAAGTGGAACAACAAAAACAGAGTATGATCATGAAAAAGAATGAGCATACACCAACTAAAATGAAGGTGCTAAGCTTACTACACATCAGAAATCAGACATGAGATTAAAAGAATATTAAAATGAAGCCATCCCATTCTAAAACTACTGCTCTTCACAGGAGATGTAGAAGATGACACAGCAACTATTTCTTCTTTTTAAGTAGAGAAGAAAAAGGGGCGTTTCTAAGTCTCAGAATATGTTGGGGATAATTAATTCATTAAAACTTCCTAGTTTATAGAAAAGATGGGAAATTGGCCATTTTAGTATTAATTTATAATATAAATACACACATATATACACATATACAGGCACAGCATAACAGTCAAACTAGTGGAGTCGCTACATAGAGACAATGATGAAAATGCTTAGAAGCACATACATGGCCTGCTTTCCTAAACCTAGCCACGCTCCTTTAATGGTGACAGAACACTGCTTTATACCAGGGAATACTACAAGTAACTACAAGTCTGTAGTTACTGCTCACCAGGCACCAGGACATTAAAGATTGAATGAATAAGGATGGGATGGATCACAGTGGGTCATTTGGACCACTCTCCCTGCTCACGCATGGTCATTCTAGACTATTATTGCACAGTCCAGACAGTTCTTGAATATCTCCAGGGAGGGAGATTCCACGACCTCTCTGGGCAACCTGTTCCAGCACAGTCACCTGCACAGTGAAGACGTTCTTCCTCATATTCAGGTGGAACATCCTGTTTCAAACCAAACAAGAGTCTTACTTGAGTCAAGTTACAGTCACAAGCCTGATGCCAATCCAATTATTTCTCAGTGCCACTGCCAATATTCTCAAATTCTCAAATCAGGAACCTGAGTTCCCAGAGGCAGCACCTGCAGAGAGCCTGGCGTTTCATGAGGTACTTGGGTGCTGGGCACAAAATTTTGGCAACCACACAAGCTCAAATCAGCTTTAGTTTCACAGCCCTTTAAAGGTCTCTGCTTTAGAAGATGCAGGTTTTGGTCTATACTGTTTTCATCCCATGTCTGATTTTTACGAAGTTCTAGTTCATTAGTTACACTACAATTAATAGCCTTGAAAGAAAGACAATGCTCAGAACCTGTCTCCAAACTGAAATTAAAAGAATTGAAGTCCAAATAAACCAAAGAAATGACAGAAATGCCTGATGTTTTAGTTGGAGGCAGGCTGTTACCTCCCACGAGTGTTCATTCCCTTTACTAATTTCTTTTCTGTTGTCTAAAAGACATTAGCCTGGTTTTCCTTCTTTTTGTGATACTCCTACGTTGACACCACCTTATGAAGCAGACCACGCTGTACAGTTCCAACATTCCTGCCATTTTCAACAACTACCATGCAGAAAGTACCAGAAGCCTAGTTTAAAAGTATCTTTAATTACAAAGTGGTTACAAATGCTTAATATAATCGTTTATTCATCGGGATACAGCCTTTCAAATCTATGATACCCATTGATAATTCTAACAAATGCTCGGCCCATAAATATTTAATGGCCACTTGTGGGTGTTTTATGTTGCTGTCTTTGAAGTTGACCTATTCACAGGTTTATTAATTGGAAAAGGTTTATTTTACCCTAAATCAGATATGCAATTTTACATTATTCGAGCTATGCATAGAGGAAATCAGATCATTCTGTCTCACGCAAACAAGGAAAACACATCTCTCACAGAAAGAGCACAAATCAAGTTAACGAGGGACAGTTTATTTTGTATGATTTCTCAGGGCTTTCAAACAGAAGACTGGATGACAGATGCCTCCATCCTTACACAAGCCAACAGCAGTTTAATTGTAACTCAGTGGTTGTTCCCATTCCTGTGTGCATAACAAGCTCTCTCCTTCCTTTTAGCATGAGTTTTACCTGGTTGGCATGAAGTTAAACTCATTGACTCTAAATCCCTCACAGAATCAGCCAGGTTGGAAGAGA